ACTGTTTGATGTAGTATTCATTGTTTGTAGATTGATTCAAAAAAAAAGCCGCACAATTCTTCAACTGTCTTACTCGATATTGATGAACAAAAAAAAGAGTTTCTTTTATTTGTCTTTGCCAGATAAAATAATCCTTTAATAGAATATAATAAATTTTTTTCAACATAAAAAAATAAGTCTCAATTATTTTCCATCGTGACCATGGCTTTATAATATGACGCTCATCCATATATAATTGATGATAATAGGCGGATCGTACTATTCTTTTTTTAACAATTTAATGATGTTCAGAATATATTCTAAACAATGTTTAACGAAGCATTATATCGAACTAACTAATGAACATTCTAAAAATTCTATTTCGTAAAAAAAAAATTTTTTTTCCACTTCAAGAAATTTTACTCGTAGTTTATAGTAGAAATTAATTACACAATATGTAGTTATACTTTTTATTTATGGGGGCTGTCAAAATTCTCCGAATTATTAGATAGATTTTATTATATTTTGTGCATATTTCAATATTTGATGAGCTAGAATGTTTTACTTTTCGTCAGATTACAATCGATAGTCTCTAATATATTAGAAAACAATTTCAGATGAATTTATTATTAATCTGTTTAGTTTTTATTGCCGATACAATTGTAGGATGATGCCGTTTTCTATCCTTTCGAAATTATCCAACCATTTATTTGTTATACATCTGTTGTGAGTTGAAATTTTTCTTTTAATTCATAATTCAATAGAACAAATTGTGCTCTACATAAGGAATACTTTTTATCATTGCTTGCGTTTAAATATAGGTTTAAAAGTTGTTAGCACAATCCATGCGAGATCAAAGCATGAAACACGATGTAGTTGTTGGTGCTAATCACAGGGAGATTGTTTTACTCAATCGTCGAGAAATGCAATAAGGAAGTAATTCATGTATTTGAAGTAGAAGATATTGATTTACAATTTGTGATTAGACGTTTCTAACGCGTCTGATGGGCCGTTACTAAGAATAGATGTCACATTTGTGATGATTCGCTCTTCATGCGTCTGTCACATCTATGGAGAGTTCAAATTTCTACCCCTATATTTCAACACTCATTTTACATCATGTTTCACAAAAACAATATTTTTTTGACATATAACGTAAATTTTGAACAAAACAACGATAGGAAAGTTCTTTTTTCTCATAGCATACTTAGCCAATTTTATTGTTCAATATATCAATCAGCAAGGGTATTACAAATTACTTGAGATAGGGTGTAGGTGTGAGGTGTGGGTGTAGGTATTATATGCTTGCACACCTACATCCACCCACACTCACACCCACACCCTCAGTATATAATATCAGCATTTTAGACTTGATAAATCCTGTTTTTTTTTGTCAATCTGTTTGTGATATCAAGCAAATAAACAGAGATCCAATGATAGAGTAGTTTTATTGCCTTTTAGCTACAGATTATGTCAATACTGGCTATTTATATCCTAACAAGAATGTAAACTATGAAGTAGAAATAAAAAATATCCATCTTCATTATTTGAAATAATCAACATTAAAATGCAATCGTAAAAAAACTAATATTTTCTTTTTTGCTCTGTTTATTTTTAGTTTCTTCTCAATATTAAATACCAATAGAGTATGTTTTATATAGAAATACATTTCTTCATTGATCTTCTATAAATAATTTCAAAATTATATGAAAATACAAAATAAAATTTATTTATTGTGTCTTCATATTCACTACACAATATTCTGGAGCGAATATCTGAAATGCTCAGATACGAATAAAGCAAAAGAAGAGTTCTTTTTTTTTTTATAAAGTTATTTTTATAAATCAAAATTCAAGTAATTCTTCTATTGTTAACATAATCTATTTTGCATTAATGCATTTTCTTTTTCAAGTAATAACTAAATTTTATTTGATATTAAGGATATGATCATATAAATGCACACGCTATTCTTTTCCTTCTCGTTCACATCTGCGAAAAGAAAGAGAACTGATAAAGATCAGTTCCAATCCTGAGTAAAGGTATATAAATAAATCTATATCCAGTTATGCTACCAGAAATTTAAATGTTGGCTATGTATGCGTATGAATGGTATGGTAATTTATAAAGAAGAGAACTCTAACCTGTATGGATTATTGTAAAGGATTCAAATAATATAGTGAAATCAAATTGTATGAACGTGCAAGAATCTGTGATTGATTGACTTGGATCCATTCGTTTGAGCTAAAACTTTTAGAATGTGATAATTGTTATGAGATCTGTTATTGGAGAAATTTTCAAATGGAGACTCGTTATTGCAGTTTTTTTTGCTAATATCCTGCAATATGCTGAAAATTTAATAGAACAATCATGAAAGGCTTAAGAGCACGAACACGTTTAATGTTTTCATCATGACTATGAGTCCTACTTATGAGCTCGAACAGAGGATACCAGTTAGAGAAGTTCTCTCAATATCTATTTGCTGATAAATAAGATAAAAAAAATTGTTTGCTCATGTTTTTACTAGAGTCATACAAATTATATTTAAAAAAACAAAACGATTAATATATTATCTAGTTTATATTCGATCAAAAGTTTTTTTTTCTCTGAGTTATGATTCAAATCATAACACAAAAACTAGGAAATATTTGATACTTTTCGAGAAAATATCTATATGAAAAAAATATATATCTTCACGAATTTTTAGGTGTAGTAACAGAAATTGGTGATATGATTATAAAAATGCACTAATATGTCCATGAGAAATATATCGAATATGAATACCAGGCCATACATCATTCATATGTGGAATACCATCACGTAATACATAACCATCATGTGTACAAGCAATAAACATAACATCAGACACATTTTACTGAACTGAACGTGAATAATTATATAAAGATGTAAATTCATCCATAAGAAGACGCATCATATCTTTAATAAGACTGAGAACAATTTTATTTGAATCTATTGATTGATTTCGTGCATGTAAATAATCATAAAATGTATGAGAGGCTTTATTTTCATAGAATTGTCGAGAAGGTGGATCAGGCCATCTAAAATATAAATATATACATAATGGCTACCAAAATGATTCAACTTTTACTCAATAAAAAACCGTTCTAGAGAGTTCAAGTACTAGATACTGAGAAATTAGGCTTTTGGGTTGTCTAAAAGAATCCTAACTTAGGGAACCAAATAGTCAATGTTTTTAATTTATATTCTTTTTGTAATATGGTTTGCTCTACTTGAATCATTATTTGAAATTATGATAGATAGATACTGTATATCCATTCATTAAATAGATCAAATAATAGAATTGAATTTTACTTTGTAAATGTTAATTTCATTTTTTGACACCAATGAAGTAGCATAAGTGTTTCTAAAATAAGTACTTCACCCATGATATATAAATTGGTAACATATAATAATGATGAACAAGATTGATCTGGTGGTTTTCTTAAACCATAATATGGATTTTCAAGAAGAATCGAACCTATAGGATATTGATTAATTAATAGGACTACAGTAAATAACCTTCGTCGACTAAAACCTTGATCACGTGATAGAACAAGTTGAAAATGAGCTGTAGCTACTTGAGATGGAACCTATTTAAATAAATAGAACAAAAGAAAAAAGATAATATTAATTAAATTATTAAAATAATTTTAATTACTTATCAAATGTGGTAAATAATTGGTAAGTGGTGAACGAAATCGAACATTTATATAATTTTGATTAACTTTTTGTTTCTTGTTTAATTATTTCAACAGTATTTTCCTGTACATTTCCAGCTGGTACAAGTTCTAAACACTCATCTCTTACACCAATTTTTTCACGTCGATCGGTAAAAATTTCTTGTAAATGAAATGGAATTGTTGATCTGATCTTCTTTTTCTTTAATCGAACAAAAAACAGGACAATACAATGCTTTAGTATTCTCAATATTATATAAACACACACACATATAAAAAAAACTCTTATATGTTCTTTTTATTTTCCTAAATCAATCTCGTTAGTTTACTATGAAAACAAAAAAAACAGTATTTTTATTGCATACCGCCAATAATGTTAAGTAACATTTGAGGACCATGTGGTAAATAGACGCTATTTCTTGATTTTGATAATTGATTTGCAATACCTTCAGCGGCTTCAATTCGTAGAAGTTCGATCAAACCTAACATGAATATTAAAACAAAGTAAGACAGGATAATAAAAGATATTCGAACATTTACCATCACCAACTTCATCTAAAGCTTTGCCAATCAAATCAGCTGTACGAGCATCACCTTCTACTGCAATAACATTTGCTTGACGACTTTGTTCCGTCTGTTTTTTTTTATCAAAAAAAAACAAACTCATACAAATTTTATTCTTATTGATTTACTTTTTCGACTAAAAATCGTTGTTTTTCAACATCTTGTTGTGCAACTTGTTTTAATTCAACAGCACTTGTAAATTCAGGTCTAAAACTTAAATGTGTCTAATTTAAAGAAAAAAACTATATATAATCAACTCGAGACTCTTTTTTGTTGTATCTTACAATCGAAATATCATCAAGTAATAAACCAAATTGAGCAGCACGTTCTGTTAATAATTCACTAACACGTTGAGAAATAAGTATACGTTGTGTAATCAATTCAATAGCATCAAATTGAGACTTAGTACAACAGATTTTAAAACTTCATTAATAATCGATGATAAAACACGTTCTTCATAATCGAAACCCAAATTTGCAAAAAATTTTTGGTAAAAGTTCAGCTCTTGGCCGATAAAGAATACGTAATGTTATATTAATTGCTTGTAAATCTAAAATAAAAATAATAAAATATAATTTATGCATATTTCATTTATACGAAGAAAAAATAACGAAGACTTCCGATTTTAAGTTTTATGAAGTATCCTAAGATTGGTGAATGATGCGAGTGTAGAGTTGTAAACCGATCAGTTGAGTCACCATCGATGGCCGCAAAATTCTTCTTTTTTTTGCGAGCTTACATTTTCCTCATGTTCACCCCTCTCCTGAAGGTGACTGTTTTCTTCCAGCTTTTATACCTTTTATTTCTATTATTGATGGAACAGATCGTGATCGTGTACGAATATCAAATATAATTGGTCTATGAAGCCATGAAATCATAAAATGAGTTCCTTCTTCAATAACATCTAGTTAAACACCTTGAAAACGATCAAAAATAACATCTCGATGACCATCATCAACTAGAATATATTTAAATTTAAAGAGAACAAGTTTTTTTTTATCTTTTCATATTTACCATTATAAAGCATACAATTAATCACACCACCAACAATAGCTAAACTAATATAAATTCTTCCTAAAACACTAAATTCTTCTATCGAAATAAAATATTATTAAATAAACGAGATGAAGCCATTGTCTTTTTTTTCTTCTAAAAGAAAAACATGCATAATTATAATCAAATTAAATTTGTTTAGTTGTTTTGTTTTTATTAGCAAATAGTTTCAAAAAACAAAACGAAACCATATGAAAATTCTTCATATCTCTATCGATAGAACAAGAAAATGCATCACTATTTAATCTATCTATCTACTACAATAACAAACCAATGTAATAAAATACATAGGAAATGATTAAATAACAATAAACTTTGAAAGCAAAAAAAAATACATGCATACTTTTACATAAATCGAAATCCACTTGAAAAAATATGAGCACCGTTCAGATATTGTTCACCATTGGGTTTTAATGAATTTGATGTATCACTGTTCTTTGCTACTGCAGCAGCAATTGCTTCGAATACTGGAACAGTCTATAAAGAAATTATTTATATCATAGGAAAAAAAAATGCTTTTCAATTACTATAATTTGATTTTGTTGGAAAAAATTGTTGTGGAAATGATGCACCATCAACACGAAAATCTTCAAGATTTCTATAGTTTTTTAAAATTTCTTCAAGTTTTGAATTGATGTTTGGTTTTTCTCGAGAATATTTTAAAAATGCCCAGAATTTTTCTAAACCATATAATTGACCTAAATAGAAAAATTATTTTTGTTATCGACACTTTTCTTTTTTTTTTTGTTTAATCTATTTTATTACCAGCTTCATGATCACAAAGAGTTTCTTGTTGAAAATCTTCAAATACATGTTGACGAAAATGTTTTTCTAGATCATATGTATAAAATCGAAATAAACATTCAACACCATATATATACATAAATAGTAATATTCAATTTTTAGCTTATTATTTTTCATAAGAAAAACGACTAAAAACGATAGAGTGTATTCATTTCCATTGACTGACCAGGAACAAGTTTAACGCGTTCTAGAAATTAGATCATTACAGAAAACAAAATGTATTTTATTTGTAAATCAACATAACTTTAGATTATAAATATGTTCTATGAAATAATAAAGTTTGGCGATTAGTGAAACTTAGTGTTTTTAATCATTGACGATTATTTTATTGCTTTTCAAATTTATCATGTAGATAAGAATGATAGTATTTATTAAAAAAACTCCATAAAAGAGTAAAATCTTTGTTTTTTTTTTGAAAATTATAGCAACAGACATATTCTCTATTAGCTATTTAAATAAGAATATAAGTCTTTTTCGACTCTGATTTTTACCGGAGAGTAGTTTTCGCTGTTGTTTTTCGATATGTTGACTCTTCTTTAGTCATTAAAAGACTCGTTTTCTTTACGTTCAATGTAACATAATTTCAGTTTTTTTTTTACCAGTAGCTTGTTTCTCTCGAAATATTGTAAATATGTACTGAACTAATAATCTTTTTTTTCTCTACAATCAGCGTTTCTTTTTTACCATCAAGACATTCTTGTTTATATTTAAGATAAACTTGTTGAGTAAAATTATTTTGTTGTAAAAGTGTATGAGATGAATGTTGAACCATAAAAATCATATGAATTTGAATTATTTCCATGCCAATAATGTGAATCATTGTATGATAATGAATATTGATCATAGAAATCTTGTTGTCGAGTTCTAAATAAGTAAAACTCATTTTATACTAATAATAATTGACATTCAATTGTTTGTATTAGGAACAAAAAATAAGAGAAAATTCGTCGAAAAAAAACAAAGCAACACAAGTTGGTGGGTGTGTCTATATTCTTCATTCACACCCACTTACACACCCACACCCACACCCTATTAGTGATTTAATTTCAACAGAAATATTCATTCGATGGGATAGAAATTGAATTTTATGAAAACTTTTTAATTTTCTGTACAGTTATTTGACTTTGTCTTAACGAGTTTTCATATAATGACAGTGCAGTTGTACTCAACAGACTTGTTGATCTTGTGTTTCCAAGAAAATGAATATGTTCATTTGAATAATGCACTCTAATCAATTTTCAAAAGTCGTACTAAAAAATAATTCTATGATTTATGATTCAAATTAATTGCTTTTATTTTTTCGATGATGATGATGATGATGATGAATAGAAATTTCTTCTGATCCAAAAAAAAAGAAAGAAAAGAATATGTATTGTCCATGAAGGACTGTATATGAACAAAGAACAAGTATTCACATCTATGCACATGAAAAACGATGAAATTAATTCGTGTCTCATCATTTCAATTAATCATGTGATGATTAATCAAATCAATTACATTCGAATGTGCACATCATCGTCAATTATCGTTCGTCAAATTGATATCAACATCAATAGAATGTCTTTGATTGGCAATGTATGTTCAAAAACATATATATATATATGAAACACATTTTCACCAGTATTCTCATACGATTCGATCGAACAAATTATGAGCATGCTCAATCAAGATAAAACATGACACTCACATGATTTCTTTTTCACGGTTTACAATTTTTTATATTACTTACAATAATTAGTATTATTTTACATTATGATTTTTTATCAAAGACATACAGTTATCAATTTATAATTATTTACAATATTATAAATGAAATATATTTACAATGCTACATATGAATTTATAATGTATCAAAATGTATACATTTATAATGAAATTTGTTACATAATGTTATGTTAAACCTTTGAATTCTATAGTAGGAAAAAGAAATCTATACATGTTTAATAATTATTATATACTTTACTGAAATGTAGCAATAAAAAATGTTCAACAGTGTGGATGTGGTGGGCGTCGAGTTTGTAGATATGATGTGTATGTGTGCGCACGTGAATCCATATGCGAGCATGCTGGTTTTTATCTGGACGTGTCAGTGTCCGGTAGAAATAATTTGGGACGCAAAGAATTAAAATAAATTAATTTCCGATGATATTTATTGATCGATATTATATAATGATGCATTTTTTTTAGAAAGAAATCTAGGGGTGGGTGTTATTAAAATTCATTTCTGTACAATTAATAAATGCATATATTACAATGAAAATTATCAATTTCATGATGTATTAAAATGTTTTGATTTACAATGGAACTTACTGTATGATACTGTTTTAAAATTCATTTATTTACAATGATATTTATTGAACGATATTATATAAAAATATATTAATTTACAATGAAATTTATTATATGTTGTTAAATTCATTACTTGCAATGATATTTATTGAATGATCTTATATTAAGATGCATTATTTTAAAATGAAATATGTAAGTTTATGATGCATTATATTGTATTAAATTACAATGAAATTTATTGTATAATATTATGTTAAAATGCATTAAATTACAATGAAATTTATTGAATGATGTTATTTAAATTCATTGCTTTACGATGCATTAATTTATAATGAAATTCATTCATTCATTCATTCAATGGTGTTATATTATGATTCATATTTTTTTACAATGTTTTTGATTTCAGTGATAATATATGTTAGGATATATTGATTTATGATATAAATTTATTTTATGATGTTTTTAGAATTCACCTGTTTTTTTATGAATTATATGAAATTATAAAAAATATGAGAATGTTAGAAAAGAATATGTTTTATTATTGATTTATACCAATAACAAGATTGGTATGTTGCTTCAAAAATTATCTTATTTATCTTGAGAAAGACTTGAACAAATAAATTAATAGTTGAAAGATAAAAAAAAACTTTTTTTTTTTGTTTTCTTGGAAGAACAATTCTAAATTAAATTTTCATAATAATATTTACATTGAGATAATGTTAGAATGAGATATAGATGATTTATTTCGGATGAAATAATTTTTTTCTTCGTTGTTGTACACATTTAGTGTATACTATTATTATTATGCTAAGTCTATATTATTTATGCTAGAAGATAGATGTCAATTTATATCACAGCCTTGTTAGGTGGCTTCGTAACCTGATCCAGAGAGAGATTCTATTCGTCATGGAATGGCGAAAGCAGTGTAGTGCTCGGGAAGGCCTTTAATGTACGTAGGTCCCTGCCGTCATTATGTACGGTACATCTATGTACATTGCCCTACCAGTCGGGCGTGATCCGGTCTGTGTGTACCCGTTTCATACCGACAGGGCCTCTCCCTGGTCGCGCGCGCGCGTACGCGTGAAAATGAGCCTGGAAAAGTCGGGAAGTCAAAAAGAATCAAAATCAATTTATTGAGCAAGTAAATGAAAACAAAAAATAATGAATTACATTTTCTTTCGAATTTTTTCAAATGTTTCTTTATATTCCAAAAGATGAGGATGAGTTGAAGATAATTTTTCTTGAGCTATTTCAACTGCTTGTTGAATATTTTTCATTGCCATACTATATTTTCGTGTAGCCAAATATAATTTTGCCGTATTATGATATACAACAGCTAAATCAGGATGATTTTTTGGTAATTTCTTTTCACGTATTTCTAATCCTTTTTCGAAATATGTCAATGCTGTTGAATAATCTTTCATTTCACGATAAGTTTCACCTAAATTTATATATGTCAATGCACATTCCAGAGGATTACATTGAACATTTTCTTGAATATTTAATGCTTTTTGATGAAATACAAGTGCCTTTTCATAATTACCCATTAATCGATGAACATCACCAATATTACTAAATGCAAAAGCTATATCCGGATGATTTTCAGGTGAGGCTTTTTGCCATATTGCGAGACATTTTTCAAAATTGTCAAGCGCTTTTGGATAATCTTTCATACTGCGATAAATCTTTCCGAACCAGTTGTATGGAAAAGCCAAATCTGGATGATTCTCAGGCAGAACTTGTTTTGTAATTTCAAAGTCTTTTTTAGAATATGCAAGTGCTTTCGAGTAGTCACCCATGTTGAAATACACTTGGCCGATGTTATTGTAGGAACTAGCCAATGAGGGATGATTCGAAGGCAGAACTTTTTTCGTGATTTCGAGATCTTTTTCGTAAAATTCAAATGCTTTCGAGTAGTCACCCATGTTATTATACACTCCACCGATATTGTTGTAGGAACTAGCCAAATCGGGATGATTCGAAGGCAGAGCTTTTTCTCTTATTTGAAGTGATTTTTCGTAAAATTCAAGTGCTTTCGAGTAGTCACCCATATTCTTATACACTGCACCGATGTCGTTGTAGGAAGAAGCCAAATCGGGATGATTCGGAGGCAGAACTTTTTTCGTGATTTCGAGATCTTTTTCGTAAAATTCAAGTGCTTTCGAGTAGTCACCCATGTTATTATACACTTGACCGATGTTGTTGTAGGAAATAGCCAATTCGGGATGATTCGGAGGCAGAGCTTTTTCTTTTATTTTATGTGATTTTTCGTAAAATTCAAGTGCTTTCGAGTAGTCACCCATGTCGTTATACACTTGACCGATGTTGCTGTAGGTAGAACCCAATGAAGGATGATCTTCTGGTAGAGTTTTTCGTTTAATTTTGAGAGACATTTCATAAAATGAAGCTGCTTCTTTGTATTGTCCTTGATCTTGTTTCACCCATCCGAGCCAGTAATAGATGTATGCTTTATCACTGTCGTTGGATGTCGGTTTTAGTAGTGCTGTATATAATTCTTCGGCCTTGTCAAATTGACTTATTTTGAGCAGCAATTTACCCAGTCGATACCATCCAGAGCCGTCGACCTCTTCTCGTATACGGTCGGTTAATTGACGAAGCTGTTGGTCGTCATCCGACGTAAGTTTGAGTTCCACTTCATAAAGTGGACTTTTCTTATCAATTTTTCGAACTTCACCAATTCGAAAAACTGTATGCATGGAGAAGAGAATTTCCTCTTCGTCCTTGAAATAGCTCACCTCCCGGATGGAGGCGAACGGAGTCGATGAGACAGTAGGATCTATTGTCATTTGAAAAAGGATGCCGATCATATCGGTTGCTCCTAAGATGCCTTCAGCAAAAGCGAAGGAAACATCACGATCTGCGCTGGTGGATAAAAAATTATTAAATGATATGAGACCACCTTTGTTTTTTGCAAGTTTTTCGAAGTCGCTTGTCGATAATCCTTGACCCCTATAAACTAGAAAGGACTTTCCATGATACTGACTGACCTGTTGGCTGTGTAATCCTTCAATTTGTCGATGAACATCACACAGGAAAAAACCCATTCGGATGATAATGTCACCGTCGAGTATTCGTAATGCTCGATTGAGCATTTTGAAGGTAAAGCATTGGCGTGTATACCACCATAACGCCAATGTTGGATGGTAAGTACGTTGAAATTCATTGATTAATTTGAGTTCTTTGGTATTGCCTTGGTATTGTTCTTGGCAATATGTGACCAAGTCTTTAATGGTTTTTTGACCATGTTCCATATCAAGGAGTATTTCCTTGAATATTTGGGTATACATGAAGGAAGGCTCTAGCTGATTGAGATTTTCGCTAGAACCTCCTTCGTTGACACCGATAATACTGACTGTAACTTGATCTTGATTGCATTGTTTGACAGCTAGTGCCAATTTTTCACAGATGTGCTTGATTGATGTATGCACACTTTTAATTTTGGGCCAGTTTTTAGCCCATTCTTGGTGACGTTGCTTGTTGCCACAAAAGATATATATGGCATCCAGTTTT